ATCATCTATTGTTTCCAAGTAATATTTATGGCTGAACGAGACAGTTTTTATAGTTTACTGAAGTTAGAATATCTCTGTTATTGTTTTATTTTTTGTATTGAGATAGAATATCATAATTAAACAAAGACATTTTTAAATATGATCACTTTTGGTTTAGAAATTATTACTTCAACGCAAAATCTACACATCTATATTTTCAGGTCTAACGTTACTAAACCGTGTGTATTATTGATCGTATACGATATATAATAGAAAATATGACAGGAAACAAGCTGCCATTGGATGGGAATGCAAAATTCAACACTTCAACATTTCAGAATGGGGCTATAGAAACTATTAATTTTGGTTAAAAGAGACCCTAAAACGACAATTATAATTTGCTCACTAGCGAACAACTTCAAGATGTACGTCTAGTAGTTCTAGTAAGAAGCCGTAACCAGTCGAGTTCAGTCGTATCTTGTTTGAGAAATGTTCCCACTGAAGACAATGAGAAGTGATCGCACAATATCACGAATTGATTGAAGTAATATATTAACACTATTGGATATCGGCTCAATGGTCTAGAGGTGGTGAAGATTTGTAGCTCAGATGGATGATTTTGGTGAAGTTTTGTTCTCTGAGCTCTATGGTTTGATCGTGTTAGGCGTTCGTGCGTGAGACTGAATGTTCTAGATTCGATTTGTGGATGCGCATTCATGAATGCGTACTGTTAAGGAATCCGATATTATGATGAAATGACCGTCAATTGCTTCTCGGTTTTCATTGGTTTCTCAAGATCAATTCGTGATTTCAGTGATTTTCTTAATTCTTGTAATCACTCATTACAGATATTCCCATTTTAGTTAATTCGTGATATGACTCTAATCATTATACATTGTTATCGATAAAGATTTATTTTTATCCTTGAATGAAATGAACCTACATTTTATCATTTTCAAGTCGGACTCTGAGATATTCATTTATAAGAAATTTACCAGGGAACATAGGGTTATTTAAATTATTACTGGCGAATGAATAAAATAGGAAATATCCTGTTTTATTTATTTTATAGTTACAATAGCTCGAAAAATTGATAATTAATAGTTTATACTAATTGTGTGATGTGTGCTACTGATGTCGACAGATACAAGTAGTATGTATCATCAATCGAAATTGAAATGTCTGGTCGCAGAAGGTTAAGAAGATCAAAGAAAAGAGAACGAGAACAGAGAATGATTGGTGTGGAAAAAAAGGAACAATCAAGTCTGAGACGATTGACTGACATTTTGTAAATGAAGTATTTATTGTATGGTTCTCAGATTTTATTAAGATATTCTGTAATTTTATGTTCAAATACATTGGATCGTCTTCACTTGTTTTCTCGTTCACTACAACTGTATAAATTAAGCTTCTCTCTTATTTACTTTGTTAGTAATTACAATAAAATCAAAAGATAACACGAGAATTGACAGCTTGTACATGGTTTAATATTTCCACAATCATGCCACAATATAATAATACAAACTGGGTTTTATCTGTGTAATAATGTTTAAATGAATAAGTTGAAAACTGAACAATTGACCCAAAATATATCTGAACTAATCAAATAATATACAGTGTAATAGTTGACGTTGATGGTAACTTATAGTCCATTTGTACATTAAAAATTATAGTAATTACTTTGTGCGGGAACTGAATTAACGTTAAATAAACTCCAACTTGACGAGATATATTTACATGGTATTGTTTGTTTGAATTTAAACTTCACCCCATCGCACAAGCAAGTGGCTATCAGGACTCAGTAGCTGAGTGGATAACGTGATGGCGTTTGAAGCGAAAGGTACCAGGTTCGAGTCCCAAAGTGAACATAAATTCTGAGATGCAGGTACATCCAGCTGATGAGTCCCAAATAGGACGAATCGCTCGTACTGGATTTCACTGCTAACCACTACCCATCTTTGCTTACAAGAAAGAGTTACTTTTGACATTGATATATGACTAGTTTTTGTAATTAAATTTGATTATTTTATTGTATCATCTTAATAAAATGTAAATTTACCTAACTACATGTATAATATCGAATTGTTTATTTGCCTGACGGTGTATAGGTAAAAATAAGAAACTAATGTTTAAACGTTAGCAGAAAATTCTGAACATGTGTAATGAATAAATAAAAGTGTATTTTAAGAAATAGTATTAAATGGTTAAGTGTAAATAAAATCAAATTTACATGTTTACAGTAAATAGACTTGTTCTTTAGTCCATGCTCGGGTGTTTAATTATGTACAAATTATACAATGCCGAATAAACCTGGTTCGATGAATATAGATTCACTTCAGTGTTTACTCATAAGATGATCTTATACCATAGTTATCATCGTTCTTGAACATCACAGATCCTTATATTATTTGTAATTGAATAAATTTAAAATGTTAACCCAATTAGCTTCTATGATAGAGACGTAAATTAAGAATAGAAGCTTCAGAGCTTTTAAATCATAAATTGATTTTGCTTGAACAACAACTGAAAACCTAGAAGCAATGGACAGTCATTTCATCTTAGTATTAGATTTCTTAACAGTATGTATTCACGAATGCACATCCACAAATCGAATCTAGAACGTTCAATCTCACGCACAAACGCTTGACATCTCTAGACCATTGAGCCGGTATGACTTAAATTAATCGATGATATTGTGCGGTCATCTATCGTTGTCTTCAGTGGGTACATTTCTCAAACAAGACACGACTGAACTCGACTGGTTATGGCTTCTTACTAGAACTCCTAGACTTCCATCTCGAAGTTATTCGCTAATGAGCATATGATTATTAGTCTTATCGCGAGATTTGTAGATATCATATAATTTTCACGGTTTAAACATCGAACTGATATTTGTTCGTAATTTAAAAACTATGAAACTTATATAATTTCCACTAAACCCTATACTAATGATCGTAGAAAGCTTAGATGGATTCATTCCACCAGTTTCATTTGGCGTTCGCTTTCCAAACCTATCTTTGAACGCTACCCGCATAGCTGTCCGAAGTTGAATTCAAGCTGATCAACTGGCTTATTGTTTAACATAACTGACCATTTTTAATCATCTGTCTCAATCAGAATGCTCATTCAATATTATTTATGAAGTTATAGAAACTTGTTTTATCTCAAACTAAGATATTTGTGCCGAGACTTTGGTGATCCATTAATTTAAACTTATATCAAAATTTTACAACTGTATTATGTCTATTATCTTACATTTTTGTTGAAAGGAAGCACATTCAATTCATTCATATATTATGATCTTAACACTCCATATTTGAAAGTCATTATGTCCGCGTGTTTTTCTTTTTTTTTAATATTGATATTTATCAAATGGATAATCATTCCTATATATTTCATTCCACTAATCTTTTGATTATTACATTAATTTGGAGTTGTTCTTATTAACTTATAGCCTTTTTGTTAATGATTCAACCATTCAGCTTCATTAAAAACTACGATATGTAAAGTTAACAATAAATACCATTCTATAACATCGGTAAATGACATTATCGAAAACAATTGATCTTAACTGAATACTAATTTATATAAGTAATTCATTATTAGTTCATAGCTTAATGTAATACCTTTGCTTTCTTGGTTTCAGTGGTTGCCTAATTGCAGTTAGTCCGTGATGTTAACTACGAAATTCCACAAACTCCACAAATCTTACACTCAAATAGAGCAAAAACAATTGTCTTCATATGAAAAAATCTAAATGATCGATTGTAATACAACAGTTGTATATAAACTCATGTATCGGACTTTCAGCTGTAACATTTTCACTATAAGTAAAATAATTAGAGAGTGAATTGACTCTGCTACTACTAACACCAACATTAATACTATTGTGAATGAGAACTTAGGTGGGTGACAAGCAATATATTTAATATAAAATTACAGAGTTTCTTCGCCAAATGTGAAAACCAAATGTTCAGTACTTTATTTGCAAATTCTCCACCAATTGTCTCAAACTCCACCGTTCTTTCATTGTCATAACTATTACTCTGCTACCGACTCTTCCACTTCTGACTAGCGCTATTTATGTCTGTCGATATACTTAGCATGAACATCAATACTACTAACAATTCATGTGTTGTGGCAAATAAAGTTTGTGTATAAAGTAAAATATTATATCAAATCACTATGTAAATTCATTTTCTTTGGTTAATATGTCCCATTCATTTTGAAGTTATTGGATAATCTAGTTAATAGAAAACAAATATGTATTTTCTTCGGAACTAAAACAAAATTTCTAACTTTTTAGCGCAATATTTAAACGTTGTGTCAAATAATTCAATAGATCCTGGAAATTCTTGGTATAACATGTTATTAAGAAAGTACTTTTCATCTTTACGTGAGGTAATGCAATATCGAAGCTATACACTCAGAATACGCATATGAGAGACTGATCAATTTCAGTCCTATGTATCAACAATGGAGAATTACATACCCTTAGTAATATTTCCCATTATTCATTTTTCCCACGAAACGAAATGAAAAGAAACTATATTTTACAAGTGTATATATGTATATATACGTTGAGAATTGTATAGTCAAGACATGATTATTCAATCAAACGATGACATTTTCAAATATGAAGTAAATAATTATTATCTTACATGTAAAAATGAAAAAAAATAATCATAAATTACAAATAGTTCTCCCTATTTAAAAAACTAACCCCCCCCCTCAATAATTTATCATTTATCAATAACAATAACATCACACATGATCATTGTCAATAAGCCATATTTTCTTCTATAATTAAAAAAAAGAAATCTATTGTTTTAAAGATATGTGAATTGTGCGTTTCTCAATCAGTTTCATTGTAATTCATTGAGCAGAATTAATAAAATGAAGAAGAAACTATAAACTAAAGGAATCATTAGACAAAGGGAAATGTAAATTGATTGTGAAGTATCCTCCAAGTTTTACATATATAGATGAAATGAAATGAATTACAGTAAGTGATAAATTGTTTTCCATCAGTCTTTTTTTAATGTTAATATATATAGTATTACAAGTAGAACTGTATAAGGCGAAATTTCTAATCAAATGACTGGATTGATTATGTGATTAGTTATTAATAAAATGGGTGATTTATTCAAGATTGAAAGCAACAACAACAAAAATAGATAAAAAAAAAACAGAATTAAAATCAATCAAATTATGTAAGGTAAACCTTGTCTTACAATATTACTATTAATAGAATTGATGCTATCAATAGTACAAATGATCATATTCCATTTAGTGATGAATAAAACAAACAATGAAGTGAAAAATATTAGTACAATTTTACTGATCTTTATTATTGGGTAATTGATCAATTAATTAATTTAGTTACACTCCATGATAAATCAGATTGTTGGTGAAATTCCATTTTCGATAATTTCTCTGATGGCTCTGGTGAGAAATAAGATTTCTCTTCAGAAGTTAATGAAGAATTCATAACAGACCAGTCAGATTTATTCATACAACCAGATTCTAAATGTTTATTTAAATAGGATTTCAATGCAAAATTTTTATGACATTGTTTACACTCGAACTGCTTCATACCTGAGTGTGTTTGCATATGTGCTCGTAGATTAGAACGATCAGCAAATGCACGACCACAATGTGCACAACCATATGGTTTTTCACCTGTATGTGCACGTCGATGACCTTGTAATAACCATGGTCGACTAAATGCTTTACCACAAATATCACATTGGTGTTTCAAATCATGAGTTAATAAATGCATTGATAATGCTGGCATAGATACATATGCCTTACCGCATTGTGGACATTTTCTGGCTGATTGACTGTCTAAACTACGATGTGTTTGTTTGTGTCGACTCAAATTTGATGATGTTGCATAATTTTTACCACAATCTGGACAACTATATCGTTGTGTTTGTGTTTCATTTAATGTAACTAATAAAGAAGTTGAAGAGGATGTAATAGATGATAGATGAGATTGTGATGAATTATTATTCAGTGTATTATTTATTACTCGTTCTTCATTTGTACAATTTGATAAATCATCAAGTGAACATGATCTTGACGTATTAGTTATATTCGATTGTGGACTAATTAGTTGTAATGATGTATCATCATTATTACTACGATACGATTGACGTTTTTGTAATTTCGACTGTTTTATATGAGCATTTTTTACACGTTTTCTTGATCGACCATCTGAGATAAAAAATGCATCATACGTATAACCAACTGTTACACCTGGTTGAAAACCTGATTTACGATTTTTAGCTCTAGTTAAATCATTTGTCATATGCTCTTGAAGATGATGATGGCGAGATTTGTTCGATGTATTTCTATGACCTTTATTACTGATTCCACTACCACTGTTACTACAACTACTATTCAGTGTATGATTAGTGTTATATTGGTTTTGTATATATTCATCATATGGTAATTCATGACTGTATTCTTCACCCATACTACTTAGATTTGTATGGTTATCATCAGAAGCATTGATGTTATTGTTGCTTTTTAGGTTATGAGTATTACTATTATTATTACTACTACTAGTAGTAGTAGCAGTAGCGGTATTGACAAAGATTTCATTCAATTTATCAGCAGTCGATATTTTCAACTTTAATAATGATGAGAAAAAATCATTTGTACCAGGATAACTACTTAAATTAATATCTGTATTTAGTGGAAATGGTAATGAATTAAAATCAATCTCTGCCTGAGTAGGGATTGTTGTCATTGTTGAGAAACTAGTTGGAGATATTGTTGTTGGAGTTTGTGTTGTCATCATCATTGTACCTGTAGTTAGTGTTGATGTTAAAAATGAGGATATACTAGAATAGTGTTGTAGTTCATTAATAGATTTTTGAATTAGTGATTTTGACAATTCATTTGATTCACTTGCATGTTGTTCAATATTATCAATACTATTATTTACATTATTATTTGAATATGTATCACTTGACACTATGTTATTTGAAGGAATTAGTGATGTTTGTTTATTTTGATTTGTCGATGTTTTGTTTGATCCATTATAGGAAAGATCAATACAACCACCTAACAGAAAGGGAACATAAAAAAACAAGAAAATTTTATAAATAACAAATTTAGTTCATGAAACTTCAATTTGTACAGATAGGAAATTTTAAAATTTACTTCAACTAGATTCAGTGAAAGACTTAATTAATTAGATTACTGAATATTGGTATTTCCTAAAATAATTCAAGTTATTAACAGTTTACACGGTTATTGCGTCATAAGAATTTCGATATTGCATTATGATAACTAATCTATGCATGTACTGTATTGTGCTACTAAGGTAAACCGTTAAAAACAATGATCTTTGCTTAACGGTGATCTTGGTAACAGTTGGAAGTCTTTAAACTAGTTTTTCACAGTACAACCAATTACCATAAAATGTTACACTATCTCAAATTATTACACAGCTAGCTTCCTGTATCCCTATTTTAAATCGACAAATTATTAATTAACGTTTTATTGTTAAAAAACCCTTTCTCTCTGTCTCTCTATATATAATTTGTGTCACCTCTGATATTCACACTATCAGATATATTCACAGCAAACGAAAGAAGTGGAGTTATATTAGTGGTTTAGTAAATATAACCCATGACGTATTATTCGTCCATATTCGAACTAAAATAAAAAATGACATTCTGTTCGAAATAAATATGAGACAAAATGATGTCTTGACATTTCAAATTCAATGTTAACTATCCCAAATTTTGTTTGTTTTTCAATTATTTAGATCTATGGGTCCGCTGTACAGCCAAAACTTTCGGTTTCTTTTTATGTATATCATCCACAATGTTTCAAAAGATTGATTTTATTATAACTTGTACAAATCAAAACACTTATTTTGTATAGTAAGCAGAGATGGATAGTGGCTAGTAGTGGAATACAGGACGCGCGTTTCGTCCTATTTGGGGCTCGTCAACTGGATGTACCAGCATCTCAGAGTTGATGTTCATTCTGGGACTCGAACCCAGTACCCTCGCTTCAAACGCCATCACGTTATCCACTCAGCTATTGAGTCCTGATGGCTACTTGCTTGTGAAATCGGGGTGAAGTTTAAATTCAATTAGTATTGTTTGTTTGAGACTAACTAGTTGTAGTCCTAACACATCGATGGGAAGATTCAAATAAACAATACTATTTGAACTTATTTTGTATAGTTTCTTTCAAGCTGATAAAAAACATAATGAAACACCATCATTGATCTCTCTATTGTTCTATTCAGTTCAAAAGGTGTTTGTTTATCAGTAAAATCCACTTCATAAGGTACAAACTAATCTTCTTTTTCAATTTACTACAGATATCATTTTCATTCAGATTAATAAATTAAAAACATGTATCTGAATATTACTCAAGCATCTTCACATCTTCTAATAGATGATTTGTGTATTTATTTTTTCTTCAGAGAAAGAAAAAATTAAAATTTAATTAAATACTCTAGCAATCTGTTTAAATTAATTCTGGTGAACACTAATCATATTGGCTTGAATATCATGATTTACACTGTGATTAGTGATCAAGACTTTTGATAATTTTTTTTACAAACCAAAAAAATGAAAAAAACAAACAAAAAAATTGATGTTCATTTACACTCAGTTGATTGACACGTTCGATAGAATATTCCAACTTATCATAATCCACAAATATTGTAGCACATATGGATAAATTTATATGAACATATGTTTATAAATTATTGATTGATAAACTCGACTTAGTTTAATTATTTTTTTTTACTCAGACCCCACCATCATTCTTATAATGTTTGTGATTTTTTTTCATCACCCTCCTCTAGTTCCGTTTATACACCTGTTTTTTTTGAAAAAAATTATTTACGTCTGATTAATATTCAATAAATTTTGTGACCTGAGATATGAGCATATAAGGAGTCGGTTCACGCGAACAACTTAAATAGATAAATGAAGTCATAGGAGAGGGAAAAAGAAAAAGAGAACGAGAACAAGAAAAATGGGGAGAATTAACGAGTTTTACAAAAGTAAAACAATAAAAAAGTTGAACTAAGAAAAATAAAAAATGAAACATTCCCAAAACTTTTACTCACAATTAGATTAACATATGGAAATAGAGATGTAAATGATTTCAAGATATGATGAGAGAAGAAAAAAACAGCGAAAAAATTAACTTTTTTTCATCGAAAAATTAGACTTAAATATAAATGAGATTATGATTTCACAAGTGTATAGTTATTTTTCTCTTCTCACACCTAACTTTGTTCTCCAAAACATCTTGATAAGTATGTAATACACAATCTGTTCAAATGAGTACAACAATGCATATAAACAACAGAAGCGAAAAGTGCATTTTTTAATACTACCATAAGTCTAGTTTTATATACTAGTAACACGTACTGAACGACAGCTTGATATCTGTTGACGTTTGCCATATTACTTTTGTAGAAATTGATTAAAAAAGAAATAATCATATTCTGAATTTTAATTACATCCCCCTTCCTTCATTTTCACTAATGAATAGGTGTTTATTCTTCTCCCAGTATGTGGTATATAACAACACTTGAGTCGAAAGAGAAAAAGAAAAAACTACTTTATTGGGGGGAACGTGTTGATAATTGTAGTACGTGTGACTGTATGTGTGTTTATTAAACAAAGAAAAATAAGGGGAAGAATGTGAGGGAGAAAGCATTTAGTTAACCAACAGATGGGAAGGTAAAGAAAATGTAAAAAGTTAATGGATCTTTTTATTTCTTAAGTTAACATTTCGATACAACAAAAACCGATATACTTATATATTTATTCATTCAGAATATCCGTTTAATTCTTTTCAGAGTAAAGCTATGATAGAGAGAGAATTAGGTAAGTTCAAGAATAACCACTTGATTAAAGTGAGAAAAAGCCCTAAAGGCTGATTTTTTTTCTTAAAACTAAAGTGATTTTTTTTCTCTGTTCTCAATAAACTCGTGTAATGTATATTCACTTAATTCATAATATAATTTATAAAATTTAGGAAAAACGTTTTAATGATGCTTGATTTAATTTACGTTGAACTACACGTGTAACAAATTGTAGATGGATAAAACTAAGTAGTATTTACATTAAAACAAAGAAAATTTTACTGAATTTATTTAATTTCTGTTTGACAATTCAATTGTAACTGTGTTTGTAAGTTTTTTAAGTTGTCTTGAAGTATTCACTATGAATCGATATTAATTATAGAAACATTGGAAAGTGATGCGTAGGGTGTGCATTGGACAGACGTTTCCCAAGTTTTCGCTTAAATCATGAACTGATCACTACAAGCGAAAACCTTGTATTCGATTGATAAATTGTCATTAGTGCATACCAATAACTGAGTATTTTACTATAATTATTTTTAAGATGAAAGGTTTTTGAAGGTTAGTTCCTTATGAAGTAATTATTCATTGTGAACCCTAAAATCAGCTACAGATCAGTCATTCGCCAGGGAACCTAACAATCGTGTTTGTAAGTAAAGCCACGAATAGTAAGATATCAATAAGTAAACGTATTAATGATTATTTACTCATCATTGTCAGTCAATCAGATAATATTGGGAATAAGAAAAGTACTTATCAGGACATTATTTGGTAGTCTAAAATACGTAATTGAATAAGTATAATAAAAATGTAAAAGTATTATGAGTAGTACTATAAATTGAAAATTAAAAAATATTGAAATAAGTTATTATCGTTTGATTAATGACTTTCTTGCATTCAGTCTAAATTAAAACTTCTCGAATTAATCCTGCGCAACAAAAAAAATTTCCGGAATCTTTTTGAAACAACATAAGATTAAAAGAGTTTGAAAGAACTGTAAAACAGAGTAACTTCTACATTGTAATAAAAATAGTCTGTTGGGTAATCTAAAATAATTAAAAAGAAAAGGGTCACAATCAGAATTGATTTGCTCCAAAACAATATCTTTTCAATTAATCACTAATAAATTGCCTATATTACTATTGTCCTATGAATTGGTTCAAGTTTAAATATATTGTCTTCCAGTTTTACAAAATAAATATTTTATTTTTCTCTCAACCGTTTTAACAGTACCAAATAACTATTACAAAATACATGGTTAAAGCAACAATATTTCTTTGTATGTTCAATGTTTTTTCTTCCACTGTTGTTCTTTTTTTAATTTCACTAAAACAACTAAGATTAGAAAAAAAACACATTTTTTTGTTTGTTTGTGCAAATATATATAACTATGTATGTCTGTGAATGTGACTATTCCAAGAGGTGAAAACCTATACTAGAACACGTACATGTTATTCATTGTTTATATTTCTTTTTTAATGAAATACGTACTCAACATTCCTTTTTGTTTCTATCATTACATTTGAACAACAAGAAACATGGACACAAACAAAAATCAGTAAAGTTCACTTGAATAATGTTTTGTAGTCGTCATTATTATAAAATAAAAGGTCATAGTATATAAATTTAGTAGATTGCTAAGACGTATTTATACATGTTTCGTATAACTTAGATAGTTCAACTATTTAATAAGTATATGTATATATATATGAATATTATGTAGATAAATATCACAACGAATTTGTCAATATTTAATATCGAGGTCATTCCAATTTTATTGATGATTGTAATAATAACAATAATGGATATGTGAAATGTACTTTAATCGCATTGTAAGCATTTTACTGATAAATAATAATGATTATCTAACAATAAAAAACAGTAAACAATAGAAATACGTGTTTGTTCAGATATATTACCAAAATGTAGACGCTGTTAAACCGAAGAAATAGGGGTATAATATACTTAGTGAACACAACAACTGATATAACAGTTAAAAATGACATATTCTACAAAAAGAAAATTACAACCTGATAGTTTTTTTTAAAAAGTCTGTTGTGTTGTTTAAATGTGTAGGAACGTAGGTGTATGTGTGTATGTACGTGATAAGTGAATGAACCACCTGCATACTAAGTAACCGTAGAGATAAGTGAATGCAATAGATAAGATTAAATATTCAGTTTAACATTATTGCTATTAGTTTTTTTTAAAGCTGTTT